AAAATTTATAAATTTTATCATTCAAATTAATTTTTTTTTATCATTCAAGTTACTTCAATTATCAATTAAATAAAATATAACAATGTCGTACAGTATTGATTTATTTATTTTAACAATTATTTATTATTAAAAAAAACTAATTTCTTTATTTTTTTATAATTTATAGCACCAACGGAGCTTTTCAACTAAATATGGGAAGAGAAAGTATACCAAGAGTACCTATTTGCCATTTTTGCCAAGCTACCACATCTAACGAATGGTGGAGAAAAGCTATTATGATAAACGGTGTCAGAGTAATCGTTGATAAATGCCAAAGGTGTAATCCACGCTTAACTCAAACTCAAGTTAAACAATAATGGCCAGTAGAAAGGTTTAAAATACATGATTGTCTATTAAAAACTTTTTTATTAATAAAAATCAAAATCAAATTGAAATATTTTTAAAAAATCTCATTGTTTTTTATACTTTTTTTTTTTAATCATTAACTATTCTATATTTTTTTTTTCTCTTTTATTAATTTTGTTTTTGAAAAAAAATAAATTAATTTTAATGATTAAATATTTTCAAAGATATACTAAAAAATAATAAAAAAAAAAAAAATTAAAAAGATATTTTTCATAAAATGATAAAAAATTTTTTTTAAATATTTCTTTATTTTTTTATATTATAAGGTGTAATAAATAATTATAAAAAGCTCGAATATAATACAATTTGAAAAAGTCATATAAAAACATATATGATGGTATTAACCTAGTTTTCCTTTGGTTTTATTGTAATAAAAAAAATTATACACCTTTTTAAAAAAAAGAGTGGTTACACTAAATAGTACAGTAAAGCAGTGTTTTTTAAAACTGTTAAATATAGCAACAAAAAAAATACAATTTTTAAGTAATGTAAAAAATAACACTGTATTGATTAATTATTACATTGTTTTTTTTTAATGTTTTTTTAATTTTATCAGTTTGTTTTTTGGGGGATTTATAAATAATCACGCTCAATAATAATCTTTTCTCTCACCCTATTATTTAAAAATTTTAAACACAAATTATAATAATTTGATTTTGACCCCCTCAATTTTTTCTTTTTGTAAGATAAATTAAGAAAAATTTATTTTACCTCAATAATTAATATACATACAAAATGTTTTTTGAACAACATAAAAAGAGATTCTATATAGATTTAAATTCATATAGAATCACTGTGGGAACTATCATCTGTTCCCACAGTGTAAAAAGTAAACAAAAAAATTAATATTACATGGTTGTTAGAATCAATATATAAAAATTAATATTTCTTTTTTTTTTTTTGGTTATTGATATCATGAATTTTTATTTCATAATATATAGAGTGTGTGGAAGAGAGGGGCAGTATTGATAATTTATGTGAATGCATAATTCAATTGTTTATTTTTAGATTGAAGTGCAGAAAAATAGAGTAACTTAACGGTTGTGTGGGTAGGTTTTTATTGACTCTACAACACAGTCACAACCACTCACACTTCTGTGCTTTTTTTTTGGATGAAATAAATATAAAAAGTAAAAGACAAAACACAACTTATTTTTTTATTATGATAATTAAAACAATTGAATTTAATATTAAGTGACTTAAAATCAAATATATCTAAATTTGAAATTTGGGAAATATAAAGAAATAATTTTGTTTTGTTTTTTTGAACTTTACTTATTTTTTTATTTATAAATATTATTTAATCAAATAATTATATATATACAGTTTGGTAGTGTATTTTATATTCATTAAACAATTAAGAAATATTTAGATTTACTAATTATAAAATTTATCTATTAATCTGTATTAGAAAAATGAAATTTAATAATGGTAGAGAAATAGTAATAAGAAGAGTATTAACACCCAGACCGGTAATACCAAGACCATGTTCCATCTGTGGATCTGTAGCTAGGACAGGTTTGAGAATATATTGGGTAGAAAGGGGACGTGTCTCAAACCGAACAACTCTATGTAAGGAATGCGGTCTCCAAAAAGATAGGCTTTTATTAGAATTCGAGCTTTTAAAAAAACTATATATGATTAAAAGACGATTAAGAAATTCGTTACACACCACACCTATTCAATCAACATTCATTCACTCAATAATTCGCTCTTTACAACATTAAGCAAAAACAAATATTTTTTTTCAAATTCAAATACAATCACAAACTTTTAAAAAAAAAAAAACCTAAAAAATTAACACACTGTAATCATTTAGATTAGATTTTATTATGTGGTATCAAAATTATATCATATTCATTCATAAATATAATAATAATAACAATACTAAATTATACAAATCTAAAAATAATAAAAAAATTATAATTAAATTAACATACAAACCGTAAAATAAATATTTTTTTTTAATATATATTTCAATTAATTCCATAAATACTTTTAAAATACAAACAATAAAAACTATTATTTTTTATAAAAAATTAAAAAAAATTAAAACAACTATAAAAATAAATATTATATTTTAAAAAAATTTTTAATTTTATATATTTAAATTATAATTTTATTTTTTATTTTTTATTTTATAAAGCATGATTAAAATTGTTAACAGACAGTAGTGCAAATGTCCTAATCAGTTTCCTAAATAGTTTTGCTGACCAAATCATCAATGTAAATTTCGTAATGGCTTATCTGGACCGTATTTTGAAAGATTTTCCCCTTTTTTTTAATGATCTTGATTTTGATAAATATAATTTATCATAATTATTTTTAAAATCATCACCGAGTTAAAACTCTAAACAGTATTTATTTGATTTTTATTTTGTTTATTCTTCATTTTAAAAATTATTATATTAAAATATTAACAATAACAATAATAATAACTATTATAATTTTATATTTTATAGATGAAAGTAATAATTGTTATTATTTTTTAATTAAAAAATAAAATCACGTTTGAAAATATCTTCGTTAAAATTTTTTTTTTTTTTAAATTTATAAAAAAAAAAAGAAAAAAAATTTAAAAAAATTTTTTAAAAAAAAAAAAAAAAAAAAATTCCCGACTTAAAAGAATAACATAATAATATCTTTAATAATGATAAATAAAGACATGAGATAATAATTATAATATCCTCAGTAAATAATTTAAATTAACATTAGATAATGTAACTAAAATAAAAGATGTAATAACCTTTATTCAAAAATAAAATGAAACTTCCTTGGTTACTTAAATAAATGTAAAGTTTTTAATAGTTCAAACTTTGAAGAGTCAAAGGTAAATATAAACACTATTTCTCATATAACAGAACGTGGATTTAGCAATAGATATTCGGTTTTAACTAACGATATAAATAATTTATAGAAATAATTAAAAAGAGGTTACTTAATCACTGCCTCAAGAAACATTCAACTTTGAGCAAATAAGAACGAATATAAAATATTCAAATGGTTTGAAGAAGTATTGGAAATAATCATTCAAGAACATGAATATAATCATACTATAGAGGAACACCACTCAAATCTAATATAGACACCCAAAAAATGTTAAAATTAAAAAGTAGTTACAACAATAACAATTGCAATAATAACAATAAAAATAAAATTAGACACAATAATAATTTTAGTAGTAGTAGTAGTAATAAAAATAATTTCAAATTAATAATCAGATAATAAACTTGTTGTAAGCAAAGAAATAGACGATAATGATAAAGTTATAGCTATCAAACAAAATAAAGTTTTTACAATATAGGAAAGAAATAAAAATTAGAAAAAAGAAAAGAAAAAAAAAAAAAAAAGGAAGTTCATTATGCCTTTAATTTAAATGCAGCAACACTTAGTGGTGCAATTGATATATTGGTAATCCTGCAACTAGATGGCTCATTGAAATGCACTCCTTTCATGTTAGATTTGGTAAATTACAATTAATTTCAAAGTGATATCAATTTATGTTAATGGACAGAAAACAGATTTACAAATGAAGTTGGTCAAGCTGGTGAGGCATTTTTCATGGAGGAATCAGATGATCCAGTTCCTGATATTTTAGCAACTTCCCCAATTCCATCACCAAAGGGTAATAGAAGAGCAGTATCTATGGTACCACCACTACCACCACTAGCACTACAGCAACACATCAGCTCCACATTTACAGCATCAAGTAATACTTTAGCAACTATTCATACAAGCACGAGCACTGTTTCTTCCACAACTACATCCCCAATTAATTCAAATATCGTTAAATCAGGTTCCAATAAAAGAGATTCCTTTGATTCAAAAGAAATGAAACCATTAACATCTGCTTTGGAGGAAATGCTTTTACAACAAAGTACTCAAATTTTTCAGCAACAACCATACCGCAAATAAGAAAAACAACATCACCTTTAAGTAGCTCAAGACCATAGACCAGTAACTGTTGAATCACAATCTCCAATTGGTAGCTATATAGTTGAACATGTTACACCATTTGAAAGGTCCAAATATTGACTTCATCAACAACTACTACAACATCAATAAGTGAACCAATCTGAATCTGAACCAAAGTTTTGGGATGGGGCGGTTTTCCAAAATTTAGTTTTCGTCGAAAACAACAACCTACAGCACCACAACAAATACAGCCACTGCAACAACAAAAACAGCAAACATATACAGTCACAACCACTACAACAACAATCAGAGCAATCATATTAAATATGTAATGGTTTCATATAAAACAAGAAACAGCTATAATGATTTTGCTAGCATCAGTGGCACAAATTTTTGGTACCACTTAAAGAACTGAACACAATAGTAACTACAATAAAAATCTACGATGGGTTTTAGAAGGCAATTTATTAAACAGTAACAGTAATAATAGTAGTAATTACAATGGACTCAAATTGGGTAATAATAAATTCATGTGGCAATTTAATGAGATTGCAAATTATCAAGATAATCTTAGAAATGGTATTCAAATAATAATAAAATAAAAATAAATAATAATTTTAAAATAAATTTGAATTTGAATTTATTTGTTTTTATAATTATTTCTTTTTATTTGTTTTTATTTTTTTATAATTTTTGATTATATTATTTATTTGTATTGAGTTCTTTTAATTGCCTCTTTAAAATTTTGTTGATTCAATAATAAAAATAATAAAAAAAACTTGTGTAGGTGTTAAAGTGTTTATCAAAAATACACAATCTCCAATATCACAGCCCAAAAAAAAAAATTAAAAAATTTAATAATAATTTTTTTTTAAACCTTTGTAATATTAAAGTTTTATTTTATCAACATCAATATTATTATTATCATCAACAATATAATTCTTTAATTTTTTTATTATAAAGAGTTATTATTATTATTATTAAATAAAATTATTTTAAGAAAGGAGTGTTTTAAAAAATTAACTTTACAAAAATGGTATTCCTTTTTTTTTTTTTAATATAATTTTATTATTTACCACCATCACACAGCCATACCCACACCACCCATAGTACCAAATATATACAAATTATAAAAAAAAAAAAATTAAATCAATTTTTAATTTTTTTAAATTTTCATCTATTTTTTTTTTAATCACCATCCTTTTTTTTTCCATTTATTTGTTTCATTAATTGTTTAAAAATTTATATAATTTCAAAAAATTAAAATTAAAAAAATTAAAAAATATAATTAAAATCATATTTATAAATTAAGGTATTTAAAAATTATAATTATAAAATAAAAATAAAAAAAATATTTTAGATGTATATTTATTTCTAATTAAATTTTAAAACTTATATTATAGATGTCTGAAAATAAAGAACAAAACAGCTACAATGTAAAGTTAAATCTTTTAATAAATAAAATAAAATAATACTAATTGTTTTTTTTTTTTATATTTAAATTATTTTTATATCTCTTAAATTTTTTTTATATAGGATTCAGATCAGTCTGAAAATAATAATAATACACCCTTTCTGCCATGTAAATCATTTGATGAGTATGATGATTATGAAAGTGAAGATACTGATTCAGAGTATGAATCACCCGAAGAGTATAACGAACAGTATTTTTCACAATTAGAGCCATCATTTCAGGTCCAGCCATTTACACCAGAGCCAAATCAATCAATTGTTACTACAGTGTTCAAAGTTAATAAAAAAATTAATATTACAAATGATATTAGAACCAAAATATTATATGAAACATTATATAGTATCATGTCATTAAACCAAAGAAAAAAACCCACACACAAAAAAAGAATAAGGTCTCGATGTTGTCTTTTCCAGGGAAAATACAAATAAAATTTTAATATATTATTTATTATATGTTAATATATATCATAGGTATTTTATATTGTGCATAAAGACCTATCACTTGTTAAAATTATTAAAATAAAAATTAAATTTCTAAAAAGATTGGTCACGATCTAAAAAATTAAAGTTTCTTTTTTTTTTTTTTCTTATTTTTTTCTTTTGGTTATTGATAAAATTTAAATTATAATTTCACGAACTTGTGTATAGAGTGTGAAGTTAGATGAATTGAATATAAAAAGTAAAAAAAAATACAAGTATAATATATTTTTTTTATTATGATAATTAAAACAATTGTATTTGAAATTAAGTGACTTAATTAAATATATCAAAAAAAAAAGGGTTTCTTTTTTTTTTTTTTTTTAAAAAAAAGGGTTTAATTTTTGATAAATACAAAATAAGTTACTCATACAATTTATAGAAACAGTTTTGTAGTGTATTTAATTTTCATTACTAAAAATTACTAAAATTCACTAATAATAATTTTTTTTATAAATCTATAATAGAGAAATGAAAAACAATAATGATGGCAGTGAAATTCCTAAAGTAAGAAAATATAAAAGAGTTGGAAAAGAGGGACTCAAGACATGCTTTATATGTAGATCTACATACTCACCAGAGTGGAGAAAAGGTTGGGTAGAAAGGGATGGTTTTTCAACACATGCACTTTTATGTAATAAATGTGGTCTCCGAATTGCAAAGCAAAAAAAATCTGATGAAAAAACTAGAGAACAAAATAGTATTAATAGACTATTAAATTAGGATGAGGCAATTGCTGGATAAAAACAATAAAAGATATAATCTTCTATAATGATTTATTTTTAAATAGATTTAATTTTATATAAAATATATTTATTATTTATAAAGTTTTTCTAAAATGGTTTTTAATTTTTACAGTATATGTGAAGGTTTGTAAAAATATTATTCCTTCTACTTTGTCTATTCTTAGACTTGAACATAAAAATGAGCACGTGGCTGAAGTAAACAGCAAAAACCACATTAAAAAAATTGATCATTTGTAAATGGTACCGATAAAAAACTAAGGTGTGTTTTTTGATTATTGAATATTGTTGTTATTTAACTAATAAAAAATGTATTTGTTTCAATGTTTTCTAATAAACAATTATTATAATGAGTTATAATATTCGTATTTGATTTATATTGAGAAACGAATTTATTCACTCTCTTATGCTGTCATCATGTTTTGTGATTTCAGAAATATTATAATTAAAAAAATGAAATAAAAATAAAAATTTAAAAAGATATTATGCGGTTGGTTCTTTAGAAATCGAAAAAGACTAAATTATTAATAAAATCGTTCCATTCAAAGTTTGAATTATTGAAATAAATGAAACTAAGAAAAGTCATCTACAATCACATCTTTACCAAAATTTGTAACTATAATAATAATAAATAAATAAGATATTTAAATTTAATTCTTTGTAAGGTTAAATTCAATTTTTCATTTTTTCCTTTATAACACATTCTTCTAAAGGTAATTATAATGATAATATTTGCATAATTATTATTATATTTGAATAAAAAAGAAACTTATATTTAATTAGTTAAATTGTTTCATTATCAACAATAGTAACTATAATGTTAATATTTACATAATTATTTTTATAAAAAAAAAAGACACTAATATTTAATTTTAATTTTTTAGTTAAAATGGATTGATACCCAATATTTGATATGTGTCTTAAAACGTGTTGATATTGAAAAAGAAAGAATTATATTTAAAGTCATAAATCAAACATTGGGGTTTTGTTTATTCTTTGTAAATATGGTTTTTAAATCTGTCTATTTAATCTCAAATCATCCATCAACTATTCCACCACCAACACCTACGCTAATAGAAGCAATCAAAATATTTCAATAAAAAAAAAAAATCAAACTATTTATAAATAAATACACATATAAACAAATATAGATATAACTAAATAATTTCCTTTTTATGAAAAATTTAATCAAATTAAATGATAAAATTAATTTTATTCAAAAAATAACAATAATTTATAAAAATTATTTTATTTAAAAAAAGTTTTTAATATTTGATTTTTTATTTATTAATTTTTTGATTTAATGAGTTTGGACAGAGCATATCAATATTATGTATAACAAATTTTTTTAATTAGTTCGGTTTTTCCCTTGTCTTTGAGGCCATAGAGTTACATAAAAGGTCGTTCTTTATTTAACCTCGGCTTTTCTTCAGGTGGTAGGTATAGTTGTAAATGTGGTATCAAAGAAGATGGTAGTATAGTTGGTTGTGGTTACGGTAAGTATTGTGAGTATTTTTGTTGTTGTTGTTGTTGTTGTTGTTGTTGTTGCATCCTTATTGCAATTAGACATTCTAGAAGCTCTTCTGGAGTTGGTAGGGGTTGAACGGTTTGCGATACATCTGATTGGGTTTGCTGGGTAGTCAAATCTTGGAAAATTGAGTGGGTTTGGACAGTTTGCGATTTATTTGAACGGGCTTGCAGGGTATTCATATCATGGAAATTCGATTGGGTTTGAACGGTTTGGGATACATTTGATTGGGTTTGGTGGGTACTCGTATCATAGAGATTCGATTGGGTTTGAACAGTTTGGGATACATTTGATTGGGTTTGGTGGGTACTCATATCATCGAAATTCGATTGGGTTTGGACAGTTTGCGATTCATTTGGCTGGGATTCTTGGGTACTCGTATCATGGAAATTTGGTTGAACTGGATAACCATTATTGTAGTTTGAATATGTATTAACTTCGATATAATCAGTTCGATGAGTATTGAATGATCTAGAATCCTCTAAGAGATTGGATGGATCACCGCAGTTAGAATTTGATGATGCTGAGACAGCGAGTCTTTTTCTTGAATAACAGTACTCTGATGGATCTGTTAATTTACGGATACCTTTTTGTTTTGGGGGTAGATTTATGAAAGTATCAAAGCAGAGAAATTCATTAATTGATGGTAATGTTTCTTTTTTAATAATCTATTAAAAAAAAGTTACATGAGTGAAGCGCATTCCATAATCGTTAAAAAAAAATAAAAAAATAAAAGAAAAACAATTTATTAGTATAAAACTTTAAGAAAAAGTAAATATATTTAGAATAATTACCTCTAGAAGACAATCATAAGACATTTTTTAATTTTAGAAATTATAAATTCTCTTTGTAATGTAAGAAAAATTTATAGATAATAAAAATGAAATGAAATATTTATAGCTAATAAAAAAAAAATAAAAAAAAAATAATATTAATATTTATTTAATCATCCAAAATTAATTGCATTGTCTATTAACAATAAATACATACTTGTTTTTATTATTGTTATTATTTGTATATGTTTTTTGGGTTTGAATAATAATTAATAAAAAAAAAAATTTAAATATTTTTAAAAAAAATATTATAATTTTTAATATTAATTATATTTTTTATTGTGTGATTTGGGGGGCTAATTATGGAATAGTGGTAGTGGTTATTTAATAAATCTTTTTTTAAAAAAACTTAAATTTTTTAAGTTGTATTCTATTTTTATTTTTATTTTTTTTTAATTATTAATAAATTTATTTGTATTTATATTTTTGTTGCCATTATAATCAAATTATTTGAATGATTATAAGAAAAGAAAAATGTAATGTGGGTGAAGTAAAAATTTAAAGCACACAAATGCAAAAATGTACAAACACACACAAACACAATACACACAATATACAACATACAAACACACTATAAAAAATTAAAATGGATTGAAAGTAAAGTAGATTGGAATTTTATTGGGTAGAAAGTAAAAACTGCATAGCTGTATTATATTATTTATTATAATTTGAATTGATATCGAACACTACTGTTTGTAGAAAAAAGGGGATGAATATCAACACAAATCTATTGAATCGAATTTGTTTTCTTCTTTATTTATTATAAATTTTTTATTTATTATAAAAACAATAATAACAATAATTTAATTACAAAAATTATTATATTCTATTATTATCTTTATTTTTTGAGACAAAAAATTGTTATTATTTTTGATTTTGAAAATTTTAAAAGCTGCTTTTGTTATTTTTAATGCTACCCAATATATCTGAATTTTTTTTTTTTTTTTTTTTTTTTTAAATTATAAATCTATTATTGCTTCATTATAACATCATTTATCAAATTGATAATAGTATAGAAAAATGTGTGATGTTCTGTGTGTGAGTTTGTTGGTATTTGTGTGTTTGAAAAAAAATTGTTTTTTTTTGGCGTGCTGCTATATAACCACCAGTGCTTTTTATTTATTTTTCTATTTTTTAATTGGTTGGGTGTGTGAAGATAGTGTTTTTTTTTTTTTTTTTGTTGAAATTATATTAATAAAAAAACACATTGGAACGATAAATAAATAACAATAACAACAATATGAAAACTACAATAAAAACAACAAATACAAATCATAAATAAACTGTGAACGTTATTTACATAGAGAATACACCAATTTCTTAATACAAACTCTGTAAATAAGTAAAAACAAAATTTAATAAACTTTAATACATATTTTTTATTTATAAAACTATTTTGCAAAAAATAAAAAAAAAACTAAAATATAAAATATAAAAATAAAAAAAATTTTAATTTTTTTTGTAAAATTATTTAATTTTTTTTTTATTTATTTTTTTTTATTGCAACGTTATAATTGGTTTAATGAACACATAAGGTTAATGTAAAAAAGAAGCAGCATTTTGGCAATTTTCACAATGATTGATTAGGTATTTGTAGTTTGACTGTATCTTTCATTTATGGGCAGTTTTCAGCACTTCTTTTTTATATATATTAAGGTATTTATTATTACTGCTATTATTATTTGCTTATTAGGATTATTTATTGTTTATTTTTAAATATATTAATCGAATGACATGATTTAATAGTATAGGTATTTGATAGTTTAAATGGTAGAGCCTACATTATTTAACACTATAGCCATGGCACTCTGTATCTGGATATGTGATGAATATTAGATTGATGTTGAAAACGGGTTTCGCATTGTATATCGGTTAATAGGCTAGAATCTGCTTCTCTCTTTAAGAGTGTTTAAAGGTAGTTTATCTGTAAGTAGTTTGTTGATGAATGTCATTTCTGATCTTACTTGCATTTTGATCAATGCAGGTAATGGATGTATATTAATAATGGATGTGTATTAATTAAATAATAAATATATAGAAAATAAAAACCAAAAAAAAAAAAAAAGAATGAAAGAGCTGCCAATGCTGTAAATGCCACCAATGCTACCGATGGTGTTATTGATGCTAACGCTTTAAATACTTAAATGATGCCGATCCAAAATCCAACGTCAAAAGGGCCAGAGAAATATTAGAGTATTGCTTCGGTAAAAACCCATTCCCAGACTCCATCGAGAAAGAGATCATCGCCTACCAATTAGAAATGACCATCAACCAAGTCGTCACATGGTATAAACATAAGAGGGAAAACTTAAGAAATCTAACAACACATCATGCAAAGATTCATTTGTCTCAAAGTTTATAGAAACACCAACGAGTTAAACTTTTTCCTCCACAATTACCCATTTCCTACTGAAGAGAACATTGTATACTTTTCATTAATCTATGGTGTTACCAAAGAAAATGATCTTATCAGAATATGATTCATGTCTAAATGATACGCAAAAGAACAACACAGGTATTCATTGGAAATGGCTCCATCAATAAATCTTCATACGATCCATACCGTCATCTTGGTAATTTCTATTATTTCTATGAGGATGAATACGATGTTAGCACTGATAAGGTTCCAGAAGGTCACCACCACTGCCCCCACAAAGAAGAGAACTACCCAAACTCCAATTCAATCTGTCAATAATGCTTGTTTATTTAATAATAATAATATTAATAATAATAATAATAATAATAATAATAATAATAATAATAATAATAATAATCAAATTACAATAATTTGGATAATAATAATAATAATAATAATAATAATAATAATCAAAATAAAAATAGCAACTCATAATATAAATTTTAATTTAAATAATAATATTAATAATAATTTATTATTTAATTTAATTTTTTTTTTTATTTAAAATTAGACTTTGTTATTTTTTGTAAAGTGGGAGTGTGTTGTATAATTATAAAATTATTATTATTTTTATTATTAAAATCCATTTTTTTTGGTAAATTTATAAAATTGTAAATCAATTTAAAGGGCAAAATTAAAATATTATTTTTATAATACACAAAATTTATTGTCAAATCAGATACGAATTGATTTTGGAAAAAAAAAGAAACCACAAATTTTTGAATATTTTTTTTTAAAAAATCTAAAATATTATTATAATAATATTTTTAAACCAGATGCGAACTGATTTCGAAAAAAAAAAAAACAACAAATTTTTAATAAAATTTTTAAATTAATATTTTTTTTTTTTTTTTTTCATTAAAAAATTTTCTATAAAATAAAAAATAATTCAAACCAAATTTTAATAAATCAAAAATAAATATTTAATAATAAATAATAAATAATAAATAATTATTCAAAGATTGTTTCTTTTGTGAAGAATCAATAGAAATGTATGAACACTTCTTTCATACATTGTCTTATGGTGTAAATTTTCTTTTAGCCATAAATAGGACACTAGAGGAACTTTGTGAAAATTATAAACTTCAACCTCAAGAAGATTTATATAAAAAACAAGGTTCTGATCATTTGATTCAAATTCACCAAGAGGCATTTAAAAGAGCTGAAATTAATTCTTTTGATTCAAATTCATCATCAAGTAGTTATGCTTCATTACCTTCGCCCAAAAAAGAGTCACATATACATCAATTTCCCCCCGCCTATGGTACCACAAATACTATACCTCAACTAATAGTACCGCCAGTTAGTGAAGATTACAAATAATCATATTGGCAGTATGGCATGTTTTGTCGGAAGAAATATCAGACCAAGATGAAGGTGATAGTACAGCTGAAGATGACTTCTTTGTAAATTTACATTTATCTATGGATGCTAAACCATTTATCAGATATATAATTGAAAGAATGGATTATAGAATATTTCGAGAGGCATTTAAAAGAGCTGAAATTAACAAATTCATCTTATCATTGTCATCCTCTATGATTGTTTTGATTCATAGTTTCCTTTCTCCCGAAACAACCAAGAAATAAAATGCATAGTGGTAAAGAAAAAATAGAATGCATAACAATTGGTGATGGATTAGGAAAGTTTCAATTTAAAGATATCAATGAAAACAATATCCCAAAAAGTATGTAAATTATAAAATAATAAAAAAGACGATTTATTATAAATAATAATAATTTTATTTTATTTATTTAAACTAATTTATTTATTAAAATTTTTTATAATCATTGATTTTTTTAATGACTATAGTTCATTTGAATATCCTGAAAAACAAGCAGAGGATGACATTTATTCGAATAAATGGAATTAGACAATCAGGTCCCTAATCAACAATCTCAAAATTATATTTAATAAATAATGAAGAGTTTAGATCACCATTTTGTTGCGGACGACAAAATACTTTCATCACTACCAACTTATCATTGGAAATTGAAGGAAAATATTAACATTATTAAAAAAAGAGAGCTGGAATATTCAAATTATAATTAATTAAAAATTCAAATTTTGGAAAATATAGATAAAAGAATTCAAAAATTCTATAATAGAAAGAACTTGGTGTCAATTAGAAAAATGGAAAATAACTTGAAAAGCTACATAGATCAATGTGGCTTTTTAATATTTTAATTTTTTATTTATATTAAATAAACAATATTTTGAATTTAAAAAATAATTAGACTTTTTTTTTTATCATATTCATATACCTATACACACGCACATATGCACACATACATACATACACACATATATTTACTAATAAATTTACATATATAAAAATATATATACATATTCTTTTAGACATTTATACAATGCTCATATATATTTACACATATTATATTTTAAATTTTAAAAAGGTTTTTATTTATTTTAATTTTAGTTATTTAAATAAAAATTTTTACTTTCTCTATTTTTTTTTTTGGAATGGTAGATGGTAATCTAAAAGATTTTCAATGATAATGTCATATACGGTTTTATATGTTTTGATAATGTCAAGATTATCTGCAACAAAAGCTGGACTATGAACCAAGATGGATTCATTTAAATGACCAATATAAAATTTACTGAGATTTGGACGTCTATAATCTTCGCCAATAACAGGTTCACCAAGATGGATAAGGGTTTTCAATGACGATGGAAGCCATGAGTTTGATAGAGGTTGGACATGGTATCGTGGCAATTGAAGGATTTCAAGTGACGCTGGAAAAATTTCTTTAGCAAACACTTCACTTTGATCACTATTAAATTTCAGTGCACGGAGTGTTGATGGAAGTTTCATTATTTTGTGATGTGTATCACCTAAACTAAAGTATTCTAGATTTACCAATGGTCCTAGGTCTAAAGGATCGTTTGAGTTTAAATCATCCAGGGTCAGCGATACTATAGATATTGGTATTTGGTCCACTTGAAATATGAGATCACCACCAAAAAGATCAAGATGCCTTAGATTTGTGAGTGGGCTGAGTTCATTATTTGTAAATTCGGAAGGACGAGATAGTGATAGATAGGTAAGATCATGTGGAAATCTTCTATAACTTTTATTTTTGGAATGGATGATTAGTTCATTAATAGTATGTGGTAATTCTAAATAACGGGAGTTTTTAACTTCTACACATCTAACATTTTTTGTAAAGTTATGTGGTTCACAAAGCATGCTTTTACCAAAAACGACTGTATGAATATTTTCAGATGGAACAAATAAACTGTTGAAATTTGGACCAAAAGATATTTTTTGAAGATATTTTGGTAATAGATTAGGAGTAATAGGTTGGTTATAGCGGCCGCCTAGTTTGAGATAAGTAAGAGTTTCTGGTAAAGAGCCAGGTAATAACGAAACATTATGATACATCTTTAGCTTTCTTAAATTTCTTGGAAGGATTCCTGGAAGAAACTGATGATTATAACTTGGGCAGTAAAAATCAAGAATAGTAACAGAGTCTGGAATACTACCAAATAATAATTGAGTTTTGAAAGCAGAACCAATTTTTATTTCTCTTAAAGATTTTGGAAGAACGTTTGGAAGAATTGTTTGATTAAAATAGTGGGGAATGTGCAAGCTAGTTAGTCCATTTTCAGGAAAAACTGGTGTGTAATAATAACAACCGTCTTTAAAAACGGTGTCATGAAACGGCTGATTATAATCTACTGGCAGTGTAAGATGTTTTAAAGTACTTGGGATGGTTCCTGGTTTAATTGGAAAGTTATAATCAAAAAAGATGAATTTCAAAGAGGTAAGACTCGGTGTTAAGATGAGGGGCGAGAAAAAATCACAATTGACGGGCGGCTTTTCAGTGATTGAATCGATGATAAATTTTTTAGCATGAGGTGCGAAATTGACCAATTTTGAAAATACTTCTTGTTCATTCGTAGTGGATATTATTACTTTTATATTACTATAATAATTTATATAATATGGAGACCCATACATATTATCTTTTTGATCAAAAATAAGATTGCAGGGACGGAAAACTCTTATTAATTTTTCCTCCATATCAATTGGAAATTGAACATTCATCTTTACTATTTTTAATTAATATTTATTAATAAAACAATTGATTTTTTTTACCTTTTTTTTTTAATATTTTTTTTATTTTTTTTAATATTTCCAAAATTTCTTTTTTTAATTTTTTTTTTATTTTTTTTTAAATTTTTTTATTAAAAATTAAAATTATTTATAATTTCATAATTTAATAATTAAAAAAAAAAAAAGAAATAAAAACACTAAATATTTCTATTTTTCACTTCAACCCCATAGTAATATTAATTGTTAACAATCACCAATATACTTGTGTGTTTGGTGGGGGGAAGAAAATAATATTAATTATTAAATTGTGTGAAGTGGGGGATAGGTAATTAAAAAATATTAATGTTTAAATGCATAGAGCAGGCTATTAAAAACATTTCCAACTCCATTTATTCCTTTTTAAAGATATTAAATATAAATAATTAATAATGATTTACCTGTAATAACCTCTATCAGTATTAAGTGACTTAATAATAATTATAATTTTTTATTGTTTGAAATAACAGTTTACGTGATGCTATAAATTGCCGTTGCCATATATATTTACAATTTATATTTTTTTATTCTTAAATATAATAAAAAACACACATGGATCTAGATCTGTTTCAATTTAATAGAATTTTTTAATTTTTTTTAAATAAATTTTTTTTTTTTTTTTGAACTTATTTTTTTTTAAAAATAGAACAATACAAAAATTATTAATCTTGAATTATTGATGGGGTAAAGTTAATTATTCTAATCCGAATTAGTATATACAATTTATTTTAATGAAAAAAAACAAAAATATATTATGAAAGGGTGAGAATGTTTGTGTGGTTATTTAAAAACTTGTATTTTATTTATTTTTTAACATGTATATTTGTATATTTGTATGTTTGGGGGTATGGGGATAGCTGTGTGAAATTGTTACACAAAAAGGTGTTGATAACATCTCAACACCATTCCCACTCTACACAAAAAAAATGTACACTATCAAAATTTACAATATTAAGGAAATGTTTATATTTATTAATTTTATATACATTTCAAATATTTATATATTTCACAAACACACACACACACACACACACACACACACACACACATAATGTGATCCATATATATATAACAATAAATTTGCGAAATGGTACATAGTAATTGATTTTCACACAATTTAAACCCAGAATGAATAGTAGCTGAATATTTTTAAAGTATATAATATAGTTTTGTGATTTGTCTATAGAATTCTTTGTTCTCTTTGGGTATATTTGGCTATTTTACTAATGTCTTATTCTGCATCAAAATCTCTATAATAAATCATCATAGAAGAATAACTCTTTGACTTTGAATTTTAAAAATATTAATTTGAATTAAAATTTAATTCTAAATATCTTCCAAAATACTTCACCGCTATTCTTTATTTGATGTAAAACTCAAACTGGGTGTATTCATTGATGTATTTATATAATCAAATTCTGAACTATCAGTACTTTTATATTTTTTATATGATTTTAAATTATTATTAGTGTTATTGAAAGCTTCAATCATAGATATAATAATAAAAAAACAATATCACCATATAATAAAAAAAATAAAATGGGGTTTGAAAATATTTCATCAATTGTAACATTAATGAGCTTTGGAACAATGAGAGTATGTCTATCGTCATTGTTATTATTTGTATGTGTAATAAAATAAATAAATATTTATTATTTGAAAAAAAAAAATCTAAATTACGAAAATTAAATAAAAAAAAATTTTAACTTTTTAATTTTTTTTTATAAATTATTTTTTATTAAAATTTTTATAAATTTTTATCCAAAATACAAAAAAAAAAAAAAACCAAAAAAAAAAAAAAAAACTGCAAAAAACTTTTTTTTTTTTTTTTTTTTTACACACAAAATTTTTGGCAATTTGGTTTTTTTTTTTTGGCTTTTTTTAAAATTTTTTTATTTTTTTAATTTTTTAATGCAAAATTTTTTTTTTTTAATCATTTTTATAAAAAAAAAAATTCTAATTTTTATAATATCTATCTTTTATTACTTTAAATAAAATATTTATTTCATTATTTATCAAATATGTTGTTAGAAGTTTACTGTAAAATTTGTTCACAAAAAATAAAGTTTACTTTATCCACCATCAACATAACTAGAGCATGCACATAGATGTTCAACTAATTATTTGGAAGAATGGGGGCTACAAGAAATGGTACCAAAAGATGTTTTTGATAATGTTTGTCAACAAAATGAGCTTCTTAAAAAAGAAAACAAACAAATAGAGCTTCTTAAAAAAGAAAACGAACAAATAGAATTTCTTAAAAAAGAAAACCAACAATTAAAGCTTCTTAAAAAAGAAAACCAAAGACTTGAAACTATTTTAGATTTATACATGGGTGCTTCAAAAAAACAAAAGATTGAAAAATGTCTTGGGGATGATTCGATTTCAAGTGAAAGTTTATCTGAAGTAAAAATTGTCAGAGTTGATACTATACCAATTCAAAATAATTCAAAAACTGGTAATATTCCAATTGTTGAACCAAATATTATTTCACCAAACACTAATTTTCCAAATTTCAGTGAACCAAATATTACTTCACAAAATATTATTTAACCAAACACTTCTTCACCAAACATAAACCCAGATATTGCAAGTATTCTCTCTATTTTAGAAAAATTTGGCGAAGATGCTAAAAAAATGATACTTGATCCCACTTCCTGCAACCGAACCAGAGGATGATCAATGTTGTCATTTTAAAATTAGAAGATCTAAAATCGACCTTGCTCCAATAACATCTTTAGTTAAAGCACAAGATTTTGCCTTGGTTAATAGTCTCGAAGAAATAATACGAACATTTCAAATGAAAACTACTTTCCTTGGATGCCCATATGCCTCCACCAATTCAAAAAGGAATGCATTCACTCTATTTTGTAAAGATATTTCGATTACAATCTGTAACGTCGACCATCTCGAAAATGAAACAGTAAGAAAATATATTAGAAACTTTTTAGGTTTTCGAAATAATGATAAACAATCATTTAAAGTTCCAGAAGATCATCCACTCCAAATAAAGTGTAGAGGTTGCCCTGCTTCAATCGATGATTCATTAAAAATTCGTGGTCTTAAATTACCTAAAATAGATTCAAATTTCTTTTATTTTTGTTCAATTGAATGCTTTTATACGGTTTGTTCGATAGCTAAGGGTGGTGATTTTGCTGCTACAATTGATGAAAATAGAAAAGAAAGAGGTGCTTGTTTTGTGTAGTAATAGTCCAGTTCAAGGTGTAAACTATAAAGGAAATTCATATATTAGATCTCAATGTGAATGTCATAGTGTGTTCCTCCATGAAGTTTGTAATGTTGCATTTCATAACCCAGATTTCAAAATTGCCCAAACTTTATTATTTATACAATTTATTATTTATTAATTGTATAAATAATAAATAAAATAAAAATAAAAACAATAATAATAATAATAATAATAATAATAGTGAATTAACTGTAAAATTTTAAATAAACTTTAAAATAAATATATTTTTATAAATATTTATTTATTTAAACTCAAAAAAAAAAATTATTTTATTTATTTATTTTCACGAAAAAACCAACCGGCAGACCCTTAAGGGTTATTATGAATTTTTTTCTGGCACTTTAAGGTGAAAACCCTCAAATATTAAATATAAAAAATTTTAAATAATTTTTCTTTTCAAAAATTTAAAAAAAAAAATAAAATAATTTAAAATAATTTTTAATTTTTTTAATAAAAAAAAAATATGACAATAATAATAATTTCTCTAACATAATAATATCTTGAATAATGATAATAATTATAATATCATTACAAACCTCAGTAAAGAATTTAAATTAACATTAGATAATGCTACTAAAATACATATAAAAAATATATCCCAAAAGAAAATGATTGGTTACTTTAATAAATGTAAAGTTTTTAATAATTCAAACTTTGAAGAATCAAAGGTAAATATAAACACTATTTCTTATATAACAGACATGGTAAATTGATTTTACAAAAGATATTCAGTATTAAATAACGATATAAAATAGTTTATAGAAATAATTAAAAAAAGGTTACTTAATCACTGCTTCAAGAAATATTCAACTTTGAGCAAATAAGAAGGAATATAAAATTTTAAAATGGTTTGAAGAGGTATTGGAAATAATCATTCAAGAACATGAATATAATCATACTATAGAAGAACACCACTCAAATCTAATATAAATACCTGAAAAATGTTAAAATTAAAAAGTAGTTGCAACAATAACCAATAATAATTTTAGTGGTAGTAATAAAGATAATTTCAAATTAATTATCAGAGATAATAAACTTGTTGTAAGCACAGAAATAGACGATAATCTTAGTAGTAATAATGATAAACAAAAAACAGCTATGATGATTTTTTGAGCGATGGTGGCACAAAATTTTTTGGTACCACTCAAAGAACTGAACACAATAGTAACTACAATAATAGTAATAAAATCAATAAATTCGATGAATTTTTAGAAGGAAATGTATTAAATACTAATAGTAATAGTAGCAACTATAATAATAGTAGTAATTACAATGGACTCAAATTGGGTAATAATAAAAATTCATATGGTAATTTAATGAGTTTTGCAAATTATCAAGATAATCTTAGAAATTGTAAACAAGATGAAAACACATGGAATTTTAAATTGAAAATATAATATATAACAATAATAATAATAATAATAATAAGAAAAGTTAAAAGCTCCAAAACAAAACAATATCTATCTTTAGGTTATAGTAAAAAAAATAAAAATAAATAATATTGTAAGAGTGAACCAAGTTTGCGCAAATTTGAAATAACAAAAAAAACCCACCAAATTTTTAACTTTTTTTCGCATTAAATTTTGATATAACAAATGTGTGGGAAAACTTGAACCGCTTTAACAATAATAATAGTTTTAAAATATATTCAAATTTGTTTTTATTTATTTGTTTGTTTATAATTATTTCTTTTTATTTATTATTATTTGTTTTTATTTATTTGTTTTTTATAATATTATTTATTTGTATAGAGTTCTTTTAATTACCTCTTTAGAAAATTGATTGGGTTTAAAGTGTTAAAAATAGAACACTATTTATTATTATATTTTTGTCAAATATTAAAAAGGAAAAAAGATTCAATTTTGAAATAATCAAATTTGGATAAAAAAAAAATAAGCGGATAAGTGTATTTCATTATGCAAATGTGTGGTAGGTGTTTGATAAATTTTTTTTTTTTATACACACACTCACTATTCCTATTTGAAATAGCTTTCACTTGTTTTTTAAAGATAAAATAAAATTTATTTTTTTTAATATTATTATTTTTTTTTTGTTAATTTTTGGGGGTTTTTTTTTATTCGATTGTGTTGAAAAAGGAAACATCAACAAAAAAACTAATTACCCCTCCAACATAACCACATTCTCCATATTATATTTTTCACTTGAAAAAAAAACAATCACTAAATTTTTACCTTATATTAAAATTAATAACACACACAACAGCAACAAACTTACAAATATAATTATAGTCTGTGTTTATAGTGTATATATATTTGTATATATATCAAATTTTAATTTTTTTTTATATTTTTTTTTTTTTTATATTGTTTTATTTTTTTTTTAAATTACTTTTTTTTTATTTCATAAATATAAATATACCCTTAACAAATAAAAACTTATAATATAAAAGAAAAAAAAAAAAAAAACAGGTAAATAATTTAATACAAAAATAAAATATAAATAAATTAATTATAATTATTATTATTAGTGCCCAATAAAAAATCAAAATAAGAATATAGGTATAGAACTGATAACAATTCAAATATGGATCCATTAGATGAATTATTTGGGGATATGGATATGAATGAACTCGTCCATATCCATGCCCAGAATTATAAAAATTATTTGTACTCTTTAGATCAAAATTTTCCCGGCACTGCACCTAATATTCCTGAAGTTGGGGAACAACCAATGGAAAATGAGCAATTAGAAATCATTGAGCCAAGTCAAATCTATGTATCTAGTCAATGTGTCGGTTCTGGTTTCTGTTCTCAAGTTTTCATCGGTACTCACAATGATAGAGAAGTTGCATGTAAACGTTGTTTATTGAAGGGTGACATGTTTTATAACGAAGCCGCCAATCTTAAACTACCAAACCCAACAATATTTTCCCAGATTCTACTGGATTCTCAAGTTAGACTAATTCTATTTTATTATTATGGAATTTGTCCATGAAATCACTTGAATACCAACCCTAACCTATTCGAGCTATACTCCTTTAAAACATATGCATTCCATTCCTGTAGCTCATGCTGATATTTCAAATTCCAACATTTTAGTATATCATGTAGGAAACAGCTGCCATATCAAGTTTATGGGTTTTGGTATCATCTGTAATAGTAATTCAAATAAACAAATCCAATTTTAAAGAAAAAATGAATACATTGCACCAGATCTACCAGATGAAAGCTAATCTCGTGAAAATCTTAATGAAAAAACTGATGTGTAGTCTTTCTCCGTTCTTCTCAAAGAAATACTTGAACGTAATATTCTTTTGAATAGCTATAGAGGATAGATTGATCTACTACTCTCAAAAATGCTGCAGTGTATCCCAAATTTACCGTCCAACTTTTGAAGAAATTTTAAACTATTTCAAAGTTGTTTAATCAACACACATTTTTAAATAAAAAAAAAAAAAAAAAAAAAAAAAAAAAAAAAATTAAAGAAATATAGAATCTCGACCATTATAACAAATCTATAGAAATTAGAAAAAGAAACAGTTTACTGTAGAAAATAGGTTTGTTTTAACAAAGGATAAACCATAATTAAAAAAAAATTTATTTGTTTTTTTATTATTTATTCGTCTTCGTCTTCGTCTTCTTCGTAATCGTAATCATCATCATCGTCTTCTTCTTCTTCGCTGTCGTAATATAATTCTATATAATATTCTTGGTACTTCATCTTGGTCTTCTTCGTCGTAGTTTAGTAGTTTACCGATGCTGCTCCCTAGAAATCTCCTCATTTTATATATTTCTAGCCCAACGGATCCCGCATACATTACACAAAATTACTCCTTTAGTTACACCATTAACATCAACCCTACCCATTCTCCATTCGGGTGATATCCAGGTTTTACAATTATAGCAAGATATTTTTTTTGTTGGACTACCCTTCTTTCTTTTTTGTACTACCTCAGAATTTTTTTTTTGAACAACTTTTCTGTTTGTTGCCATTTTACTAATAAATAAAAAAAAAATACTCTATACACGTATTAGTAATATAGAAAAAAAAAATTTTAAAAAAAATAAATAAAGAAAACAATACCAAAATTATATAATTATTTAAAATATGAAAATTGAAATGATTAATATATGAATTGAATAACTTTAATAATAAAATTTAATTTTATTAATACTATCTAAATAATAAAATAATAAAATAATAAAAAAAAAAAAAAAAAAAAAAATCAAAAACAATTTTGGGAAATTCTAGAAGATGGATATAAAATATCCAACATTTGATTTATTTATCATAATAAAAAAATTTCAAAAATAAGCAATTTTTTTTGAATTCAATTCAATTCATCTATAAAAAAAAAAAAAAAAAAATATTGCTATAAGTAAGTTTATTATTGATAAATATCTACTCACCCATTAAATTGCCTATATTTATAAATAAAATTACAAAAAAAAAAAAACAAAACAATTTCACATAATTCAGTTGATTAAAGATATTAAAAAAAAATATATTTTATTAAAAAAATTTTTTTTTTTTGAAAATTTTTTTACACCGGGCAATAATGAAAACAGATTTTAATCTTCACATTTTTTATATTTTTATTTTATGGTGCGATATAACACCAAAATAAATTTTCAAATATTTGGTTCAAAGAATCTTTTTTTTTATAAAAAAATTGGGATGGTGATGATTTGCTAAAAAAAAATTGAATCTTTATAATGGGTGAATCCCCAAATAAAACCGCTTTTTAAAATTTTAAATATTTTTTTTTTATATTCAAAACACCACGTTGCTATGTTCAGAATTTAAATAGATGCGATATAATGAGATGAAAATTTTAAATAAAATCATTTATATAAATATCAAAATTAAAACCAATAGTAGTATACTTCAAATTTAAAATATAATTAATTTTCCTCTGCTTCAGTAATTAAACTGAATAAATAAATATTTGTTTACTTTTTTTTTATAAAAAATATCAATAATAAAAACATAAAAACTGAAATGTGAAAATAAAAAAAATTTTCATTTTTTTTTATTTCAACGTTATAATAGGTTATGAGATAGACCCGGCAGTTTTCGACAACTTCTTTTTTATATATTAAGGTATTTATTATTACTGATATTATTTTTTGTTAATAAGTTGAAATTATTATGTAACCATAACTTAGAAAGTGGATTATTATCCTATTATTTAACACTATAACTATCATGATTGAACCATGGCACACTGTATCTGGATTTGTGATGAATATTAGATTGATGTTGAAAACGGGTTTTACATTGTATATAGGTTAATAGGCTAGAATTTGACTCAAATATTTTATACTAGATTCGTATATAAAAACAAATGTTAAAAAAGGTTGGGAAACATTGTCAATGATGGTCCTGGATATTTAGTTCAACTTCCAGAGGGTTTACTATTCAGATAAGTTATAGGTTCCTGAAATTTGTCATGAAAATTATTCGTCTCGTTCTGCCAAAATAGTCAAGGA